CTCTCATCCCTCCTTTTCAACATAGTTTTGGAAGTCCTAGGTAGAGCAATCAGACAAGAGAAGGAGATCAAGGGTATCCAAAAAGAAAAAGAGGAAGTCAAGTTACCCCTCTTCAGACAGCATGATTCTATACCTCCAAAACCCAAGAAAATCTATCAAAAACCTCCTTGCATTCATAAAGGACTTTGGCAAAGTCTCAGGGTATAAAATAAATGTGCAAAAGACAGTTGCATTTCTATACACCAACAATAAAAAAACAAATCCAAATAAAAAACACAATCCCGCCGGGCTTGGTGGCTCAGCCTGTAATCCCGCGCCTTTGGGAGGCTGAGGTGAGTGGATTGCCTGAGCCCGCTGGTTCGAGACCCGCCTGGGCAGCAAGACCTCATCTCTACAATAAATAAAAAAAATCAGCCGGGCATGGTAGCGCGTGCCTGTAATTCCGGCTACTTGGAAGGCTGAGGCAGAAGGATCGCCGGAGCCCAGCAGGTCGAGGCTGTGGTGGCCAGGAGTGGTCACTGCACTCCAGTCTGGGCGACAGAGTGAGACTCCAACTCAAAAAAAAAACACAATCCCATTCACAATAGCCACACACACACACACACAAAAATACCTTGGCATCTTCCTGACCAGAGATGTGAAAGACCCTTACAATGAAAACTACAAAACACTGCTCAAATAAATCAAAGATGACAGAAACAAATGAAAAAAATATTCCATGGTCATGGAATGGAAGAATCAACATTGTTAAGATGTCCATCCTACCCAAGGCATCTACAGATTTTACTCAATACCTATTAAATTACCAGCAGCATTCTTCTCAGACCTGGAAATGACAATACAGGAATTCATATGGAAAAAAACGACCTTGAATAGCAAAAAAAAAAAAACAAAAAAAAACTAGTCAAAACAATCCTCAGCCCAAAAAAAAACAAAAAAAACCCAAAAAAACAAAGCAGGAAGTATCACACTCGCAAACCTTAAACTTTATTATAAAGCTACAATAATCAAAACAGCCTGGTAGTGGTGCAACAGGCATACAGACCAAAGGAAAAGGATAGAGATTCCAGAAGCAGAACCCAAATTTGTCAACCAACTCATCTTCGACAAAGCCTCCACCAACCGCTGGGGAGAGAGGAACCTATCCAGCAAATGGAGTTGGGAAAACTGTCTGACCACATGCAGAAAATTAAAACAAGACCCCTACATATCACCATACACAAAAATCAACTATAAATGGATCTAACACCTAAACATAAAACCTCAAACAACAAGTGCCTTAGAAAATGCAGGAGACACCCTTATGGAAATCGGAACTGGCAACCAATTCCTGATCAAAATCCCAAATGCTGGTAATTATTTCCTTCCTCACATCTTTTATTAAAAAATTGATTATTTTAAAATGTAAAAAAAAAAAAAAAATCCCAAATGCCCATGCCAAAAGAGATAAGATAGACAAGTGGGACCTCATCAAACTGCAAAGTCAAAGAAACCATCAAGAGAGCAGGAGGACAGCCCACAGACTGGGAAAAGAATATTTGCCAACTGTATGTCCGATAAAGGCCTAACATCTAGGATCTACAAGGAACTCTAATGTGCCGAAAAGAAAAAAAACAAACAGCCCCATTACAAAGTGGGCAAAAGATATGAATAGACACTTCTCAAAAGACCAAAAGTAGCCAACAGATACATTTAAAAATGCTCAGCCTCACTAGTCATCAAAGAAATGCATTCTAAAACTACACTGAGATACCACCTAACTCTAGTGAGGATAGCCATGATTAATAACTCAAAAAACAACAGATGCTGGAGTGGAATGTGGGGGGGGAAGGGAACACTTCTACACTGTTGGTGGGAGTGTCAACTAATACAACCTCTGTGGAAAACAGTTTGGTGATTCCTAAAAGATCTAAAAATTGACCTTCAATACAACCCTGCAATCTCCCTACTTGGAATATACCCAGAGGAACACAAATCATTCTATGAAAAAGATACTTGCACACATGTTTATTGTAGAATTGCTCACAATAGCAAAAACATGAAATCAACCACACTAACCATCGAAAGAGGACAGAATTTTAAAAATGTGGTACAAGCCGAGTGTGTGGTGGCGCATGCCTGTAGTTTCAGCTACTTGGAAGGCTGAGGTGGAAGGATCACCTGGGCCCAGCAGGTAGAGGCTGCAGTGGCCAGGAGCATACCACTGCCCTCCAGCCTGGGTGACAGAGTGAGACTCTGACTCAGTAAATAAATAAATAAATAAATAAATAAATAAAAATTAAATAATAAAAATAAAATGTGGTACATATCCACAATGGAATATTACGCAGCCATAATGAAGGATAAAATTATGAATTTCACAGCAACTTGGATAAACTTAGATTCTATAATACTAAGTGATCTATCACTGGATATCACATGTTCTCATAAGTGGACCTTGAACATTTATCGTAATACTATAAGAAAAGGATTGGCAGTAGCAGAAAAGGGGGGAGGTGTGATCGGCAGTAGTGGGAATCTGCCGATCCTCATCAACAAGGGTACCTGCATAATGAACACTTATATACCTAACCCTGAATTGCATCCCACATCAGTAAAGTTAAAAATTTTTAAAAAAATCAAAAATGACACCAAAAAATGGAAAAATATTCCATGCTGAAAATAAAATAACAAGAACAGTACTCACTTTGTTAAAAGAAAGGAAAAGCTAAGAAATTTGAATTATATATAGTAGACAATGGGAAGCAATCAGAGATTTTTATAGAGCATCATTTGAAGGGAGACTGCAAAGAGAGGCAGGAAGCATTACTTTTTTAAAAAGGCATAAATGTTCAAGTTAAATCTAGTTTCTGACCTTAATGCCAACATCTTATTAACTGAATGAGAACAAATTAATGAACCTCTCTTGGCCTGTTTTCTTTCTGAAAATAATAGCTACACAATAATACCATAAAATAAGTATTATCCCCATTACACAGTTGTGGGAACTGAAATTCAGAGAGGTTAAACAGTTCGCCCAGGGTTACACAACTAGCTATCAAGTGGTAGAGATGGGATTCAAACCAAAGCAACCCAGAGCCCAGTTCCATATCTTTAATCAATTTATTATAATGCCACTCTAGGTAAGGGCATTAGTATTAGTATGAAAATACTAGCCAAGCCCAGTGACTCAGCCTGTAATCCCAGTACTTTGGGAGGCTGAGGAAAGAGGATTGCCTCCTGAGCCTGGGGATTCGAGATCAGCCTGACCTCGTCTCTACAATAAATCATAAAAAACTAGCCAGGAGTGGTGGCATCTGTAGTTCCAACTACTTGGAAGGATCGTCTAAGCCCAGCAGGTTGAGATTGAGGTGGCTGTGAGCATGGCACTGCATTCCAGCCTGGGTAACAAGAGTGAGACTACAACCCCCCAAAAAAAGAGGGAGGGAGGGAGGAAGGAAGAAAAAGAAAATACTAATGTATTTCTCCAGGCAAATGCTTAAAAACTCTAGTTTTCTACTGAATTTTTGAAACTTTCAGTTAATTATGCAGATTCTTCAGCCCCGTTCTTCAGATCTGATTCAGAATCTGATTATCTGAAGTGCAGGAATCAGTATTTAACAAACATTTGAAACTTACTGATAAAGTCAAAAACTCAATGAAAAGAATCCAGGTAAGAAAAAAGAAATACATTACGACATAGAGAGCAATTCCTTAAAATTACCATTTGCTGGTAGCACATATGAAATGAGTAGATCAGTTGTCTGCAGTCCTTAGGGAAGCATAGCCAACGTTGCAACAAAGACGTTAATAAGCTATTACAAACATCAGTTAATAAGATATTACAAACGCTGACAAGTTAAATCTATTCTTTCTGGCTAATTCTAAAAACAAAAGCTCCTTATCAGGAATGAGGGAGTGGGAATAGTCACTACCGGATGAAAGAATATATTCTGAATATTAAGTCCAACTTTTAAAAAGATATTTATACGTATACGTGGTACAACACCCCGATGTTGAAACCTTAACAGAAACAGAATCTTTTTCTATAAAGCAACCCCGAATAAGTATAACAGTTTTCAACAAGGCAAGACTTGCACACACTTAAAGTTCTCGTGTATGGTTGACATTTACAGTACGCATTTACACTATCCCAGAAAGTATGACCTCACTACGGGGTTGGAGTTTGATACTTGAGGCGGTTCATCAGTAAAAACAAACCACAAAAAGGAAACCCAAAACAACATCAAAAATGGAAAACCCGACTCTCACCGCATTAGTGAAGTCATTCCCAAATGACTCCACAATAACCCAGCTGGCCAATGAATGAAGAGGGGGTGAAAAGGCAGGGCGGTGGATAAACCTTATCCCTATTGTTTGCAAACTAAGACCGTCGGGAATCCCCCTCCGTTGCTAAAGCCATTTTAAAGGAGCAAGAGTCTCTTTATGTTTGCGGTACATTAAAAATGTCAATCGCGAAGGAAAAATATCCGGGTTTTAAATACAAAGACGACTCGGATTTCAGTTTAAATCCCCGCCAGGCATCTCAAAGGCTGTCACTCGCCTGCAGCCCAGGGTCAAAAACACCGCTCCAGGGATCTCCCTTAGGAGGAACTCGGAGCCACGCAGACCATCTTCTCATTCTACACCTGCCCCACCTCCCACCTTTCAGGAAGGAAGATTCTTTTTCCTGCGGTTACGCTGTCACCGTGAGATTTAGTTGCTATCGAAGCCTCGGAGTGCGAGCCCAACCGGTGGAAACACTCAACTGTGGCTACAATAAAAATCACGGGGTCAGCGAATAATCTCGAGGCGCCGGCCGGGCCTCCGAAACCCCAATCCTCGGGGTTGGCAGCGAGCGCCGCCGTCGCGAGACGCTCCCCAAAGTCTCCATGCCCGGCCCCGGCGCCAGGCATCCCCTGAGGCGATCCGAGGCCCAGCTACGCTGTCCGGCCTCCGGACCCGCTTTCCCTCTTCCCTGCCTGAAACCCTCCGTCGTTTTCGGCTCCGTGTCTACTCACCGAAGCGCGCTGGGCAGAAGTTCCAGAGCGGCCGTGCCACTTCACCCTCCTCGCGCTGGGCCGCGGCGCACCAAACGCGAGCAGCCCCCATGCAACGGCTCGCAGGATTCAAATTCGCCCACTTCCGCCCGCAACCCGGAAGGAGCTATCGGCCCCGCCCCTGTGGGCGTGGCCCGCGGAGGCGCCAGAGGCGGTGGGGGCGGGCCCCGCGAGCCCCCGCGAGCCCCCGCGAGCCCCCGCTCTTCGGCTGCTGGAGACTGAGACTAGCCCGATGGTGTCGTCTTCGCGTTCGTTTCTTTTGTCCGGTCTCTGTCTCTATTTAGGGCCTCAGAAGAAATCCCGGCGCGGGGCCGTTTTTTCCGCCTGGTTGCTCCCGAAAGGATGCTCTGGACTCTGAAACGCACCGAGACGTGAAGTGTCCTCACCTTCAAGGAATGGGGAAGATAAAAGCAGGCGCGGAGCCGAGAGGTGGTCGCTCCTGCCCTCATCCTCTAGTAAACCACAGCTGCCGCAGAAAGGAAGAAAACAAACCCTCCCGTGCTTCCTACAGGTTTTCCTAGGCCTCCTCCGTCCTATCCTGGCACTGTCAGGACTTTTCACCTCTTTCTGTCCCCTGTTGGAGGAAGACAAGTGCACCAGTCATCCGTATTCCAGCCACACGTTGAAAATAAGTAGTCATACTCAGTGATCTATCTCAGAAACAAAGAACAGAGTACCCTATGTTCTCACTCATAAGCGGACCTTGAACAATCATCATAATTCTGTAAGAAAGGGATTGGCAGTAGAGGGAAACCGCCAGGGGAGGAAGGAGCACACCTCATCAACAAGGGTGCCTGCATAATGAACATTTGTATACCTAACCCTGACTTGTACCCCACATGCTTAAAATTAAAAATTAAAAAAAAAACAAGTAATCAAACCCGTCCTTGGTCCCAAATAAAGAATTCGAGGATAAATGCTAGAAAGCCATAACTCCCCCCGCCTCCCCACCTCCGCCCCAAGGAACCCTTTCCCAAGATGTTTATGATTCTTGTGGGATTCTTGGGACAGCACTGTCATGTTCCTTTATCGAGGACCCCAGTGTATGCTTAATCCAAAACTTCTTAAGCTTCTGAAAATACGTCTGGTAGCTTTCAGAAACTAAAGGAAGGACCGGAAATGCTTTTGGGAGAAAACAAAACAAAAACCTAAACAACAGTGACCTTTAGTGCTGTAATTGATATTGCCTGCACATCATCCTCACATCTAATAACATTAATTTACCTAAACTGATCGGGTCAAATCAAGCCAGGACAGCACAGTTTTAGCCTCTGTCAAAAATACAATTCGCAGGATCCGCTGGATTTCTAGGAATCTATTTTTCCGAAAATATGACACGGAGTCTAAAGCTATTAACCGATGTTAATAACCTATCAACAAGAAATGGTTAAATACATGTAAGTTATGATACTTTAGGATCTAATGTAGTGACACTACAGGCACTAAAAGGGATGAAGTCCATTAGTAGGCAGTGAAATAAAATATTGAAAAAAGCTGCCGGGCTCGGTGGCTCAGCCTGTAATCCTGCGCCTTAGGGAGGCTGAGGTGAGTGGATCGCCTGAGCCTTTGGGTTCGAGACCCGCCTGGCCAACTTGGCGAGACCTCATCTCTACAATAAATCAAAAAATCAGCCGGGGGTGGTAGCACATACCTATAATTCCGCTATGAGGAAGGCTGAGGCGGAAGGATCGCCGGAGCCCAGCAGGTCGAGGTTGCCTGGCCGGGAGCGGCCACTGCACTCCAGTCTGGGCGACAGAGTGAGACTCCAACTCAAAAAAAAAAAAAAAAAAAAAAAAGAAGAAGAAAGCTTTAGAAGGACTATAGTCTCCTTTTTAAAGTATGTATATTGTATGCCTTGTATACAAAGTTTTTGGACGGATACATGAACTGTAAACAGTTACCTCTGGAAACGGGATTGGTGGGAAGAGATGAAGGATTTTTACATTTCACTTGTTGAATTGCCAAAATATTGCGTATTTTTTTTTAACTTTTGCAATTTTGTTTTTAAAGGACATTGTTAGAAATTGAGTACATTCTAGATACAAAAGCAGTTTTAATAAATGTTTAATGTTGCAGTAGTCTATATCCACTAAAGCATTCATTCATTCAATTAATTCAATTGTACATAATAATTTGACTACACACTTTGTTCTTACATTTCTAATATTAATATGTTCCATTACATGTATTGCTACACATCATTACCCTGCAGCCTGATCACAAGCCAAAATAATGAGATTTATTTCTCATTGGAAGTGGAGATCTCTGTAAAGTTATTCATTTTTTTTTCACATAAGATTAGCCAGGCATAACTATATAAATTGCCTAGGGCTGGTGTAAACGTAATAGCTTATCTGGTTATGTTTACCATTTAAACTGTTGTTACTTTTTTCCCCTCAAAAAAGTAAGTTTAGATGATTTTGAATACAATCAATATTCAAATGTTGTTACAGCATTTCAAGAACAAAAAGATCTTCAGTAAATATCTACTGACTAAATCAAAGAGCCTGAGTAAATACAGACCTAAGACCTTTTAATGAAAATATCCATTACAAGACATATTTAAATCTAACAAATCTGGCCATCAGACTGGGCATTCTGATAAAAATATTAAATTAAATGAAATAAAATACAATTTTAAATTAGGTGAAATATAATAAAATAAATATTCCACTCAAGATTTTTTTTAAAACAATTTTATTAGTTTCTGATAATCCTTCAGTAATCTTAATTAGCTGAGAATTGGATTCATAGAAATTGTGAATCATAGTAAATGTTAATCTCTCTTTCCTACTTTCCTCCTCCTATTCAATCGATATGCAGCAGAAAACAAGACAAAAACATTCCTGGGACCAAGGGTCATCAGCATACATGTAAGAGCCAATATAACTGCTTCAGCAGAAGAATCCCTATAATCTACTCTGAAAAATTCTTACCACAGCTAGCATGGGTAACAAGAATAATAAAATACCTAAAATTTTTAATTTTAAAGAAAGATATAGGACCTGATGTTTTTAAAGATGTAATTGGAAAGCGTGAATCATTTCAATGTTCATATAGGAAGGTTACTATGCAAGAATTACTAAAACATTTTAGAAAAAGAAAATTAACAGAGGCTAGGAGTAGAAAATTTGTCTTACTAAAAAAAAACCAGATAAGACAAAAAGTACGGTATTTGCATTAAAAAGACACATAGAGAATACAGAAAAATACAGCTATTTAGAGAATATTAATATAAAGGTGGCATTACTGTTTCTGGAAAAGAATGGTTTCAATTGTAAGTTAACAAGAACTGACAATAACTGACTGCACATGGAAGATAAAAAGTTAGTCTTCAGCCGGGCTCGGTGGCTCAGCCTGTAATCCCGTGCCTTTGGGAGGCTGAGGTGAGTGGATGGCATGAGCCCGAGGGTTCGAGACCCGCCTGGGCAGCGAGACCTCATCTCTACAATAAATCAAAAAATCAACCGGGCGTGGTAGCGCGCGCCTGTAATTCCGGCTACTTGGAAGGCTGAGGCGGAAGGATCGCCGGAGCCCCAGCAGGTCGAGGCTGCGGTGGCCAGAAGCGGCCACTGCACTCCAGTCTGGGCGACAGAGTGAAACTCCAACTCAAAAAAAAAAAAAGACTTAATCTTAGAAGACACAAAACAAGAGATGAGTACATAAGATCATGTTAAAGTTTAAAATATTTGCATGGCAAAAGTTACAACAATACATGAAAAGTTAAACGAGAGACCATGAAAAAAAAAGATAAAATCTGTTTATAATTTGATTTTGTTTCAAAAAGTGATAAAAATGAACAGAAGAAATGAATAGTAACTCATTGAAAAAAGTGAAAAAAGGCAAGACACACAAAACATACTCTCTCTACTTCACTTTTGGGACTACAAATCAAATACCCAAATACCAACTTTCCTTTATTGGATTAGCAAAAATGAAAACAATAACATCTCAAGCTGGGAGGTTGTGGTAGTAAAATGTGTACTCTTATCCATGGACGTGCACATTGCCAAAACTGTTTTGGATAGTCACTGAGACCAAATTTTCTCAACCTTGAGATTCTTCTTCAGAAATAAGCATTAGTGGTTCCTAAATGGAAACAACTATCAAGAGAGGAATAATTCAATGAGTTAATACTCATTGAACATTCATACTATTAGGAGGCTATCCAAAGCTGTGTTGCTTTGCCCTCTAAATTGCTGCCTTCAAAGTTAAGGTTATTGAACTCCCAAAGACATACAAATGAAAATGGAGTAAGTTATTCTTTAATTAGAAAAGTAGCATACTCTGCTATAAAGTAATGCTGATAAATCTGGCACTCATTCTTAAATTAGCACTCACTTAGAATCAATACACACTTTTGGGCTAAATTATCCTTTACAGGAATTCATGACTCCCTGAGTTAGCTATATTGAACTTTGGGTAACCCTTCCTGCCTTTCTAGGGTGAGATTTCTTTTTTTTAAAACCTTCATCCTCTACCCACACTTGAAAGAAATGCTTGACCCATGCTTATGGCAGATCCTAGTTCTCTTTTCTTAGATTCAGATAGATTCCTAAATGTCTGTCAATTTTTTTTTTTTTTGGTCTGTCCACCCTGAGGATAAATTTCTAGATTTCTATCTAGGCTCTCTCCTCAACAATCCCTGCTGATCATCTGCCTCATAACTGACATCACCTCACTTATCTGTACCCTTGACTAGATACCATCCCTGAGATCTTGGAAGGATATCTTATTATATTAAGTTTTCTGCTACTCAGAACCCCAGTAAAGTCATACTACAAGAAGTGTACTTCTAGAAAGCACCAAGCAAGAAGTCTAAACAGAGACCTAATCAGGTTCTTATAATAGGATACCTAACCTAGAAACAGCAATGGCCTGTGTTGAGGGGAAGGGTGAGAGCTGGTGGACTGGAATGGGCTGTTGCTTGACGGGCATATGAGCAAACAGAAAAAAAAAGTCACTTTTATGTTTCTCAGTCTTGCTTTTACATGTCTTTCTCCAACATCTTTTATTATGTCATTATAGACTTAACTCTAACATCAAAACATTGCCTTACAAGAAAAGTATTCTTTTCGAAATTATGCTAGGGGAGC